ACAGTGCTAAAAAGTTCTAGAAAGTTAATGTTCCTAAAAGTGCCTATCAGCCTTCTGACAATATTCACAGTATTGATTCTAAATGGGGTAAGAAGCTGAATGACCCGGGAAAAAATTCATAGTTTGAGTGCGGTTTCTTGAAGTTATAAGGGTTTTTCCATGCCACATGCTATTCAAATTATATCTATTTTTTGACATGAAATTCGACCTTCTCCAATTTTCCTAAATTCTAARATTAATCTCAAAACCTTCCTCTGAAAATTAAAATATAATTCTGTAACATTTTTGTAATAAAATAACTATTTCTTTTAATGAAATTCCCATATTGTCAGAAATGTTTTTATTGGAGTTAATAATCCATAATATTCTTCTAACATTTGCGGGAAAAAATTGAATCATAAGAATTGCGTAAAAAAGTAATTCAAATTTGACTGAACAAGTCATTAGCATATAATTGTTTTTACAGGGTTTTTTTGCTAGTAACGAGTACTAAATGTTTTAGGCAATGTTATCTGGATTTAAAGGAAGTGCTTTTTGCCGCCTTTTGATCTCGCTTTCGCCGGCCACATTAAATTAATTATAATATTTAATGTTTACACGGGAACTGAAAATAATACGASGTAGTCATGTATAGTTGTAGCACCTGTAGTTTGGAATCATGACGCCATACCGTTGACATAGCAACGCTGGTGATTCGAATGTTGCCCTTGTAAGTAATTTTAAGAAAACTGAAAAAGCAGATGTTAAAAACACTGTTAAAAACCTTGTCTTTTTTCATTTGCCTGAATTCGCGCCAAAAAGATTGTTGTCGCTCGCGCGCGTGCTAAACTTAATTTTGATTGGCTATTTGTAAGTCCTTAAAATTTGTTGAGTCCAAAGTAGAAATTAAACGCAACCTTTGCGCAATTAATAAACATATCACTTTTGCAATCTTAAAATCTACAGTACTATATCTCCTTAACATTTGATATTTCGTGTGGTTTTTCATTAGTTTTATTCCCAAAATAGTTTTATTTGCACTAGATTGTCGGCGACTTTTTGAAATTTGCTGAAGTGTCGAACATTATGCTTCCAATATCTAAACATCAAGTTTYCGTGGACAAATTTTGACGTTTCTAGGGGTAACATTTATATCTGTTTCATCTCTTTAGATTTGGCGCGTTTTCATTAGCTTTTTTCCTGAAAGYCTAATAATAATGGTTGACATTTAATCTTTCTTTTCCTAATTGGGAAATCTTTCTCACAACATAATTYTAAAACGTTTTTAAGAGCGTGGTTTGGAGTTATTACTAGAATGAATGAGGATATTGATAGCTAATCGGGTTCCCTGGTTTCCACCCTCCAAAAAAAATCRACTTTTAAATTAAAAATACGCTGGCTATGTTTTTAAAGTTCACGGTGATTATGAGAATGATCATGAACATGAATTTCCTTTTATATCATGATTCCAAAAATGATAGTGATGACGATAACATTATACACRACCTTTTTTTAATTACGTCAGGTCGTTGGCATAGCAACTATCAGTTCTTTCGCGACCAGTGAGGAACTCAGCTCACCTTACTATAGCAACTTCTTCCGTACCATCCCCCCTGATGGGCAACAGGCCAAAGCAATGGTCGATATCATAGAGTTCTTTGGCTGGAAATAYGTTGCAGCAGTAGCCGTGGATCATTCTTATGGAAGGTATGGTATCCGTGCGTTGGAGAGAGAATCCTATAACCGGAAGTCATTCTGCATCGCTATGGTGGATTACTTCACCCGGTCGGGCTACAAGGGCCAGATCAGATCCATCGTGGAAAAACTAAAGCGAGAATCAAACATCCAAGTCATCGTGTTTTGGAGCAACTATGAACCTGCGCGAAGGTTCCTTGAGGAGGCAACTCAACAGGAGCTGTTTGGACGTACTTTTCTGGTTAGCGAGGCGTTGGCCACGATAGGCAAGGACGTGCTTGAGAACCATGCGTCTGTGTTGGGCAGTTCACTGGGAATAATGCCACACCAGTACGAAGATCAACGWTTCACAAGCTACCTGAAGAACATTACACCATCACACTCCCGGCAAACTGGAATTCCCTGGTGGAGGGAATTCTGGGAAACTACATTCAATTGTACAACCGCTGACCAAAATAAAACTTACAAAGTGTGTGATGATTCGTTGACAGTAGGTGACAGCTACCATAAGCTTTACAACTCCTTCATTCCCTATCTTTCTGATGCGGTGTATGCTGTTGCGCATGCGCTGAATTTGATGCTAAAATGCGATAAGGATRSATGTAAAGGGTCTGTTAGGTTGAAGGAATTGACAATGTATATGCAGAATGTGTCGTTTAAAGGACTTACAGGTGATGTTCGATTCAATAGCGAAGGGAACCCCACCAACTCGTTCTACGATGTCGTCAACTTCCAGCACAACACAACATATGGTCGCTACTCTATCGTACCCGTTGGCTCTTGGCAAGGYAAGGAAAACTTGGAGCGCTTACTGATCAACGAGTCAATCATCCGCTGGAACACAAAGGATAACCGTGCTCCTGAATCGAAATGCAGCAAGACTTGTCTTCCGGGATACAAGCAAACTGATACGGTAGCGTGCTGTTGGGAGTGTTTGCCCTGCCCCGAGGGGTCGGTTAATCCTTACTCAGGCCACCCAAACTGTACCCAGTGTCCTAAAGAGCAAAAGTCAAACCCTGGCAGGACGAAATGCGTTGATCTCCTTATCATTAACATTCAGTGGAATGATSCTATTGCTATTATTATCGTAATTTTAAATGTTATAGGGCTAGTGGTCGCTTTTTTTGCTGCGGGAGTATATGTGTTCTTCAGAGACACGCCCATCGTCAAGGCCTCAAATCGAGAGCTCAGTTTCCTCCTTCTCTTGATTATTATTCTGTGTTTTTTATTAACGTTTCTGCATTTGACTTATCCAAGTAAGGCCCTCTGCTTTCTCATCAATCCATGGCGGTACATCACTTGTACTGCGTGCGTATCGATTCTCTACCTCAAGACTAACCGGCTYGTTAGCGCGTTTCAAACTAACGTCGTGCCATCTTGGTTTAAGAAGTACATCCTTGACAGAAAAAGACAGCTTGCTGTTGCATTTCTYCTYAACTTGATTCAGTTCGTCTTCACCGTATTGTGGCTGACCATCGACCCCCCGTACATGTACAAAGAGATCAAAACACAGGAGTACATCTTCCTGACCTGTCGTGCCTTCCGTACAAACACTGGGCTGGTCATACGCTCCATCATGTTCATATATTTCATCTTCCTTGCGTTTTTGTGCTCGCTGTACGCGTTYAAAGCCCGTGGACTACCGGAGAACTTCAGCGAGGCTAAATATATAGGATTCTCAATGTATATCCTACTGGTCTCGTGGATCGTATACTACCCGGTCGACTCGACCCTTGAAGGGTCCTACATCACTATTGTCGCCTGTGCCACGGCGTTGCTCACAGCTTATGGGTTACTGGGCTGCCTCTTCGTACCTAAGGTATATATAATGTTACGACATCCAGAGCAGAATACTGTGGCTTTTGTGAAAGCTGAAGTGGGACAGTTTTCGAATGGTTTTCGCGTGACCGTGCCTRGTTCATTCCACGTGCATGCAATTAATCGAGTAAGTCCTTCACATGAGTCACAGCCCTCTTGAACCCAACAACACAGGTAGCCCAAAGGGTAAGGGTTGTATAAGAAAACTGTATAGACTTGAAACTTGAACCCAGCCAGGCATAAGCTGCCGAGCATTGAATTAAAAAAACTTCATCAACATTAACACTTGTGGTTATTTAAAGGTTAAACATACCTTGTTATCTCAGATTAATAACGAATAAATGAGTATGCCTTAAAAGCAACATGTAACAATGCAATAGTTATTCATTAAAACCATACTTCCCCCCAAACAATATAAGACCTAATTAAACACACATATAAAAGCACACCATAACCTTACCAGCACACCATCACCACAACAACACACCATCACCCCAACAACACACCGCGACCCCACCATCACCTCAACCCCAACGATACACTACCCCACCAGCGCACACACCATCACCTCACCAGTCCACCACCACCTTAACATCACCTAAGCAGCACCACATCACCCCACCAACACACCACGACCCTACCATCACCTCACCAGCATGCGATCACCTCACCAGCACGCTAACACTCCAACACACCTCAACCCCAACGATACGCTATCCGTACCTGCAAACCACTACCCCAACGATACACTATCACACCTGCACATTATCAACCCCACCAGCACACAATCACCACACCAGTCAACCACCACCTCAACATCAGCATCACCTTAACAGCACCACATCACCTCAACAACACACCATCACCCAACCAACACACCACGACCCCACCAGCGCACCATCACCTCACCAGCACACAATCATCTCACCAGTCCACCTGTCCACCACCACCACCACCACCTCAACATCAACATCACCTAAACAGCACCACATCACCCCAACAACACGCCACTACCCCACCAGCACACCATCACCTCACCAGCACACAATCACCTCACTAGTCCACTACCACCTCAACATCGCATTCACCTTAACAGCACCACATCACCCCAGCAACACACCATCACCCCAGCAACACACCATCACCCCAGCAACACACCACGACCCCACCAGCACACCACACCACCAGCACACCATCACCCCACCAGCACACAATCACCTCACCAGCACACTATCACCCAAACACACCTCGACTCCAACGACACACTATCCCACCTGCTCACTATCAACCCCACAGTACACTATCACCCAACCAGCACACAAGAACCCCAACAACACACAAGAACCTCAGCAACACACCACGACCCCACCAGCACACCACACCACCAGCACACCATCAGCACACCATCACCCCACCAGCACACAATCACCTCACCAGCACACTATCAGCCCAACACACCTCGACCCCAACAACACACTATCCCACCTGCACACTATCAACTTCACAGTACACCATCACCCCACCAGAACACTATCACCCCAACACACCTCGACCCCAACGATACACTATCCGGCCTGTACACTATCAACAACACAGTACACCTTCACCTCACCAGCACGCAATCACTCCAATACACCACAATCAATTCTGGATATTTCATTGTCATGGTTATCGATATAAATGATAGTTTTAAAGGACAGTTCTGGATAGGATAACTCTTTTTCCGGTAACTTTTAATATGAGCACTAAAATGGCTTTGATAAATTTAAAAAAAACGTAATTCAGAATGTTGATCAGTATGCTATTAACCTGAATATTTTAATGGCTTCTATTAAGCTTGTAAAGTGAAATATAAGCATTCAAATGGCTTCCAGGAAYTTCTAATACGTGCACTAAAATGGCTTTTATGAATTTATAAAAAATCAGGAATGTTGATCAATGTTCTATTGCCCTGAATATTTAAATGGCTTCTATCAATCTTGTAACGCCGCAAAATATACTCATTCGAATGGCTTCCAGAAAATACAGATTCTAGCACTAAAATGGCTTTGATGAATGTTTCGTAAAGTGATTTTGCTTTCGAAGAAATTGTTATTTATGATTTACATCTTAGAGCCATTTCTATTTGTATTCATTCAATTGCAAAATTATTGTCAAGTTTAAAACATAGGAGCTGAGACCGAAAGGTATTCTGGGAAATGACATACKTATCCTCTGATTCATTAGAGAGACTATATTAAACACGTGCTAAAATCCTTCATGCTTCCTGTCAGTGCAATAATTTGRTCTCAACTTGTATTATCTAAGTTTTGAGCCCGAAAAATGATTGCGGCGTATCAGGTCAATATAGGCACTTTACTTCGAATTTTACAATTTACAGAATTGAGCGAGAGGTGTTACGTTAGTACGGGTTRTAGGCACTGAGGATGGTCACTGCCAGAGTTTCTTTACGTCTTCAATGGTTCTTTTACGTCCCTCCGATATTGGTTAGTAATGGTGAAGTGTGGAGAGACGGGACCGTCATTTAAAGCGGTCATSTGAGCCACTTGAAAGTCTAAACATTTATAATTACAAAGGCAGCACTTTCTCCTCAGTGTTGGTCCGGTCAGGGCTCAAACCCGCGACCTCCCGCACAACAGGCCGATGCTGAACCAACTTAGCCAACCGGGTGTCGGTTAATATTAGCTTTTCTCAGGTAAACAGCGGTTTATAAAGTATGAACTAGTAAATACAATCTTTCATCCACAAAGTTTTAATTTTTTTTTTTTCTATTTATAGTCGCGTAAAACTTTCATTTTAAAATCTTGCCTTGCTTGAGCTGATGTTATATCGAAAATGTGAAATGTTATAAAATTTAACTATAATTGGAGAGCGTTTTTTTTGTAATTTCTTATTCTAAGAGTACTTAAAAGCCGACAATATTGATTGGAATGTGCTGAATGAAGCTTTCTGTCAAATGATTTGTGCCGCATTTGATTCGCATCACCCCCCCAGTGTCGCTTTAAATACGAATCTATTTTTTGCGTGGTGCGAACTTTATATAGCACCAGTTTTCTTTTCTATTCATCAATAATACTCTTGAACAATATACTAGTGTATTCAGAAACCYCTTTCATTCATCTAATTCAATGTGTAGTGTTCGTGAATTCATTGAAAATAAATCAAGACTTGTATTTACAAAGGTAAACTTCGGAATGGCTTAGCGAAGTTCCATAATGGTCGTTTGCGTTCAGTGAGGTCAGAATTCTTTGTAATTCTTTGATTTTAGAGAAATCATCTTCGCTACTTTTTCTTTCGTTTTAGTTCTTAAAATAAAGACAAAGAACTTGRGAGTGTATAATTGACTTAAGGGGATTTTAGGTTGAGTTTTAAGTGAAGAATTCTTTCTTTTTGTCGTTAGAGTTTTAGGAAACTATGGAGTTTGAACGGTTTCTTCTTCTTCCCGTGGGATTAACCTCATGTATTTTAACTCGCAAACAATGCTCTTTCCCTTCAACCAAATGTCTCATTGTTTTTGCCTTTTGTCRTATAAAGAATCAACAAAACAACTCAAACAAATAATTATAGAAATTTCTGTACTTTGGTTCAAGACAAAAGCACACGATTACAATCGTAATGAAGTTACAACGATTTACTTATTTTGCTAATGACCTTAATCTGCCTTCGGGTTCATTTTCCTTGTTCTGTGTTATCAAGAAGGTGGAGATGGATAATAAGAGCCTTAACACTCTGTTTAAAAGACACGAATTCGTTTTCTAGGGCTTGATTTATTGAAAGTTTTTAAGTCGCAAGTTATAGTATCTTAAAAGTTGTTTTCTGTATTTCATTATTCGTTTTTTGATAAAAACATCAGAATTCTTCAACAATTTTTTCAAAAGTCTTTCACTTTTTCCATCCATAAATATAAATTCAAACAAGTATTAAATTTAAAAAATCACAGTTCTACACTTAGAAATCTGGAATTTAGTGAAATAATTTGAAATTTTGAATTTGCYTTTGTACTGAACCTCTGCTTTGAGAAAAAATTACTTTAAAAAAATAAAATACCGTTTTTTAGAGAAAAAATTGTTTCTGTTTTCCTGCATTTTATATTACAAATTTGAAATGAAGTCGCTTAGCTTTATACAAATTATGAATTCTTTACAAATAAASCGCTACAAATGAATTCAGTAAATCACTCAATAATTCAAATCAAATCAAGAATCGAAAAACTAAACAGTATCCAATATTCGTAGTATTAAATATTGCTGTTTAGACTGGAAATTTTACCTTTTTTCTCTATTCCCCAAGAATTTTGAAGACTATAGAGCGTGGGAATTCAACAACTTTTGCTAGCACAAATTTTGACCGACATAAAAATTCCATTCCAGCACACAAATGGCAATTTAAGGTTTTTTTCGGCTTTCAAATCCGATATCTATCGTCTATTGAAATGGTTAACAAATTTGGCGTCAATATTCGTCTGAGTTCATAATTATTTTTAAATTAACTATACRCTGTAAAAGAAATCCGAGCAGCTGTTTTTGGATAGATATTAGGTATCCTTTTATTCTTGCAAGAAAATATTAGATTTAAAAAAATTTAAAGTGGTGAAAATCTGCCGGATTTTTGAAGTCATGCTTTTAAAGTTTCATCCAAATTTTTTTCCATCTTTTGAAATTTTCATCCAATTTTAAGTCGAGYTTAATTTAAAAACCTCAAAATGACAAATTAATTATCGAAGTCGTACTACAAAAATCTATTTCCTAAATGCAGCTTACAAATCTCATTTTAACTTAATAATTTCCAAGTCAATAATTCTTCAAAATATACGTATTATAATCTCATAATATCATATTACATTTTTTCCCAGGAAAATTAAATATCACTGATGACTTTAAGAAGGGAGAATATCTAGTAATTCTGAATAAAATTTTTTTTTGTGCGTGTCAAAAAAATATGTTAAAAAATATATAATCTTTTAATTGCGTTTGGGTTTTTTTTATCTTTTGGCTTTTGTATCTTTACTTCTTTTTTTTCCTTTTCTTTTCTAACGTTGAAAAGAAAAAAACCTTATTCTCTATTATTTTCTTTCATAGATTCTAAAGACCTTTTGTGAAATTTCTTTGTGTTTTTAAAAAGCGTTTTTAAACCAATAACAATGAGAAGTGTGTCRTTCTTACGTAAAAATGGCATCGCAAGACAGTACACCAATTATACCTGTGATGAAAACAAACAAATAAAGTTGTTTTTATGGCCTGGCGCCATTTTTTCTTTTTCTGCCTTTTTTCTCTTTTTTTTCTCTTTTTTTCTTCTTTTTTCTCCTTTCTTTTATATCTCGCGCAAATAGTCTGATTATAGAAAGTGCAAATATCTAAATTGATTAACTATTAACTAAAGATTTTAATGCGTTGCCGCAATGTGAGTTGCTACTCCTGTTTAAAACCCTGAACTAAGTACAAATGAAATCAATTTCTAAAGTTCACATTAGAGCTACGATTTCAGGATTTTTTTAAAATAATATTTACCACAGTTTACGAAAATTACCTTTAGGCCTTTTAGCTTAATTTTTACCGAGGAATAAAGATTATTRACTTTTATTTATTGCGAGATTGACTTATGGCAGCAGGAATCGTAGCGAATGTGGAATTCTCTTGCTCGAAGTTTTGGGAGAGAGAAAAAAAAAAACGGGTTTAAAAAAGACTACAGCGGCTGGCCAACAAATGATTGACAGTTTCCTCTGGATCCTTGGAGAAATTCGAGTTTTAAATAAGAAAGTAAATTTTATTACATTTGTAGTTGAKCAAACACGCAGAGATATAGGGATTTCCATTCTAACTAGGATGACACTGTTGTGTTCAATTCAATCAATCATGTTTACTTTAGCGAGTAAGCAGACAATRACATAATTTAAGCTATCATTTTTTGATAAGCAAATTCAAGGTCTAAGCTGGAGTCAATTTCAAGTTCTTAAGCTTGTTGGGGAGATATTTGAATCATTAAMATGAAACCATATTGAGTATGATATAGATGTCAGCGAGTTTGGGATTTYGTCAATGGTGGCAGGTGATTGAACTGAATGTTTGCTTTCAATGATAGAATAAACTTCATTAGAGGGTGGTGTGAGACAATATCAATTACGTCCTGCCCTGTTAAGGGGGGGTGCGCTTGACTTTACTTACAGAAGCGACAAATCGTTCTTTCATCTTAGAATGTCGACTCTCATTTTTGGCAAATTTTTATTTCAAGTTTCTTCAAATGAATTTCTTTCTTTCTCTTTTTCTTTTTCTTTCTCAGTTCTAATCTTTCTCGTCCGTATAGAGAAAAAATATACTCGAATATTCCAGATAATTAAACATTTCCCGAAGACATGAAAGACGAAGGCGCTTCAAAAAACCAATTACTCTTTGTAACTAGTGTTTAAAGCAAGGTTAACTAGACCAAAAGATTTTTTTCCTTTATCGAAGACCACTTTCTTTCAGGAAGCCGATTTAGCTCTAGGCGGGAACGAGCTCAGTGGCTTGCTAGGCTTATCGAGTTGTATCTTAAAGTTAATGTTTGCTTTAGGTATAAACAAACTGAAATGGTATTTAGGAAACATGGAGTAGCAGGTGACGAGTTCTCATGCAATGAAATACTAAAATACAAAACCTCTGATGAGCCCAGGATTAATTTCATAACAATGTATTCAAATCGATTAACCTAAGTCACCTTCTAAAGGACTCTAACTTGTCAGAACACAGAGCTAGAAGTTTGGAATTAAGAACAAGTGATTCAAACCCCACTTAAAGCAAAATGATCTTTGAAAAAATCTTGAATTAGAGGTTGAAAATTGCATTCGAGGAAGCCGAAAAGTCATGTTACTAGCYGCGACCGTAAAGACATGAAACAACATCGTTTTCAGAAGTTTGTAACTTTGATTAAGAACAAAAGTTCATGGTTTTGTTTTGTTTTTATTTCTTTTTTGTCACTTGGCTGTCATTCTTTGCTCTCACTGTTCAACTCTGTTGTGCTGTTGTCTCTTGTTTTTGAATGCGTGCATTTTTGGCGAGTTTGTATTCGAGTTTGTGTTGAATGAGTCTCTAAGAAAACGTGATGCCCCTCTCTCCACGGTGGGTCCGCTTGGATAATTTTTAAAAACTCTTACCTCATCATTGTGCTATAAATCCCCTACTGATCGCCAATTCATATTCCATTTACTATAACACCAAAGGACTAACTATCTGAATAGTATTTCCAATATAGCTTTTAATCATGCCATTTCACGTAATGAACTTTCTCCTTGTTGCTACCAATGGTATGAATAGTTTCCGGCTGCTAAAGCATGTTTGAATGTGGATACTTTTTCTTAGACTTATTTGAGTGTAATTGATGGTCTGCTAACGAAGGAATAATATCTTAAATGAACTATGAAACCATCTTTGCTTTCAAATTATCGATTCTTCTGTTCACCAATTTAACGTATTTGTGTTAATCGAAAGTATTTCTTAGGATGCGGACGAACACAATTTCTAACCCAAACAAACTCCTCAAGGTGCTTAGAAAAAAAAGCGTCTTCGAAACAATATACTTCCAGCCGTATTTTTAATAAAAGATTTGCAGCGCTTAAAAATCTCTAGGATTTATTTTTTCTTAAAACTATTAACATCTAGAATCCCCTAAATGCTAAACAACTCAGTTTTATTTGCGTTCTCAATCGACAATTTCRAATCTTTTCACTTATTCGCCTTGAAAAGATGTTATGATGGTATAATCGGATTCCAGTTGACAATACCTATCGGAATGAACGTTAAAAGATTTTCCAAATGTTTCGAAATATTTTAATGGCGTTTTCTCTCGGTTTYATTTCAGATCTCCTCATTTCAGTTCTTCTCATAAAAACGACTTGAAGTTTTCATTCCCTGTTCGAAAACAAAATTATTTATTTATCGTTATTCATTAGACAACTCGAGTAGAGGATAATTTATCAATCTTTGTGATGAATTCGGATTTTTTCGGCAATGCCATATGTTCAGTTTTATTGTCGCTAGCGAAGCCTCACATTTGAACTAATGAACAATACCCAGTTATTTTTTGTTCACAATGAAGCATTTGATCTTTTCACGTCCACTTCATGTTTCAATTTTCTTAAATCAATGAGGGCATTAAAATCTGTTGTCCATGGTCATATATTGAGTCAATGTTTTTGAATGTCCAGTCTAGTGTATATGAGACTCTATGTTGATATCTTGGTGTCTGTTAGTGCACTTCATTAACCAGAAGAGTTGCGTGAATAGTCGATCAAAGCTTTAATACAGTGTTTACATTTTGATTAAAAACAATTCGCTCTGTTTCATCATGTATCAGCTGCACAATTCGCGTTAATATGCCCTCATCAATAACAAAAAGTTGGTAAAAAAAATAAGCCAATTTTCATCGAAAAACTTATCATACCGAAGAACTTTTAAAAAAATTTTTTTTCTTTTTACTTTACCAAAAAATCCACCCCTCTTCATTGTTCCCATGTTGAGGTGTTACGTGTGATTTCACTTTTAAAGTTTTTGGACTTCATTCCGCGTTCGTTTCCGGCGGACCAATAGTTCTTGGTTGCCTAATACACTTAATTAGAGCAAGCTCATTAGTTAAGCCACAGAACAATACATTATATCATTAAATGGTGGGCTATATATAATAGGATTGCATCGCTGAAAAACCATCAGTATAGGAACAACTGTAGTTAAACTATCTAACTAGGAATATCAAGACGAGTAAAGATTTTCTACAGTATGCATGCCTACGATAATTCACAGTCTTCATTCATCAACTCTATGTACCGACCGAACTCCTCCTTGTCCACGAACACCCAACAAAGCTACAGCAGCTACAAGAACCAAACTGAATATCCTGTGGCTGTGAGATTTGATTCTCATCCACTTCACAGCCTTTCGGCCGCTTACAATTCTAGTGCACTCTCTTTCTATCCTTGTGCTTCTGGCCACAGATATGTTCACGATTTGAACTGTGGTTACACTGGCTCACTCCATGGAGGTAAGTTAAGTTTGATGCTAAAAAAAATGGGGAGATTTTTCATCGATTGAGCAAATTTACAGCAATGATAATATTTTAGTTGATTAGAAGAGTATTTACAGGGGTAATATTTTAGGAAGAATTAGATCAAAGGGTCTTTGAATTGATGTTATAGGGTAATATGGACATCTGTGAAGGCAAATCATCTGGTGTTGAATAGACTCACCACTCTGTATCTTTTAATGCCTCAAAACTCTCTAAACACTGTTTTATGGCTTCTTTCTCGCAAATTACGTTGTAGAGCATAACAAGTTGAAGTGCGAGGATTTTAATGGCATTTTGAAAGACTATTAAGTGAAAATGAACCCGAAAACTCTTTTCGCCGCCAACTTTTTAGCTTCAATTGAAAGCCGCAAGAAACTTTGGAGTTTGATAATGCATTGGAATAATACAGAAACTTTATATTCATGTTTTGAAATGGTTTACGAAGATGATTAAATATTTTTTCCCTTTTTTACAGGATTTGTTGCATGTCGAAGGCCGAAAAGAATTCGCACCGCTTTCACTCCGACACAGCTTCTCCATCTCGAAAATGCCTTCGAGAAAAACCACTATATTGTCGGAACAGAACGAAAGCAGCTCGCCTCGTATCTTAACTTATCCGAAACACAGATCAAGGTTTGGTTTCAGAACCGTAGAACCAAGTGGAAGCGACAGCAAGCCGAGGAAAAGGCATCGCAGCAAACCGCTACGAACAGTTCGGACTCCAAAGATTGCCACGCCTCAAACTCGCAACCTCAACAACATTCTCAAGACGCGAAAGAAAGCTCGTCAAATCGTTCTTTATAGTTGAACAAACTCTAAAAAAAGACTTTAAAAACTTGTAAAATAGATGAAAAAACTCATCCTTATCTCTGGGATCGATAGTCGACAAATCGATTCCCGCGTTATATATACATATATCTAAGAGTATTGTTAAGATGTTAACAAGAGATACTGACAGGATTTTTTTACATTCTTTCTTGGCATTGGCAGCTAAATGGTTTTATCTTAAATGTTTTATTTGAATTGTGAGGAGGTTATCATCAAATCTGTATCGAATCAATGGGTCAATAACTCGAGCTACTCTAACTCTTAGATCGCCAAAGAATCGAATCAAAAAAAAAAAACAAAAAAACACCAATTCTACATGTACAATTGGTATCATAAGAAGGATTTTATCTGTAATTCCTAGCTATTTTAACAAGCATTTTAACGATAAATACTACATCAAATGAGTTAAATAAAAGTCAACTAGAAAAATATAAACATTCACAGCGATGAAATGCCATAAATATTTTATAACTAATTTCTTCACTGCCTACTGAGTACGATGTTAAAAACTTATTAGCATCATAAAATAGAAATTATAAACTGATTATATTCTGTTCTGGCTATTTATTTCTGTACATACTGTATTTATCTTCTGTAACGTAAAATATGAACACTGTTATTAATCACAAATAATCGTCTTTTTTARGGGAAACCTATGTAACTCAGTCTTTTCGTAACGAAACCTTTATAGAAGTATGTAAAAATGTATTTGGTGAATAAAGTTTTTAAAAAATTTCAATGATTCTATTGTTGGAAATGTTTTCAGTCCTAAGACCGCCAGATAATTGAAAGTACAAAGATAAAAGACTTGCTATTTTTCGCAGGTTTTGTAAATTTTTGAAAATTTCATTAACAACTTTGCCAGAAGTCATTCATTAAAGTTTGAGGCTATTTACAAATTCCGGCTTACTGAACACTTTTTTTTATTCCCAAGTTGTGATTTCTTTTGGTTTTATTGCGTTGAATTTAGGTTAAAATATAATGTTGAATTTCTTTATCCTTTTTTAACATTATATCGTAGAGTTTCAACGAACTCTGGCAATGAATAAGGTCGTTATTGGTCGATTAAACGAATACTCTTGTCCATTCATGCTTGTCTTAATTTTCTACCCAGAAGTTAATTGGATCAAGATTATCGAGTAAACATAATAAAAACGGTTTTATAAACACACTATCTTCAAGTTAGAATCGAATTATTTTATAAAAAACTGATTCCAAAGTAAAAATAGACATTTCGTCTGAGCGCGTAATTGGTTATTTGAAACTATCAATTTTGGAATTACTAACAATCTAGACTTTATTTTCTAAATATTAAGTTCAAATTTGAGCCTAAATTATATAAATTCCTCGCTTTGTCCTCTTTAGGACATATTTCTCTAGAGAATTTTGTAATTTTTGTGAATTTGAAATTTGGAACTTTCGAGAGGCGAGTACCGAGAATTTTTCTAAATGTAATACTAATATAGATATCGTTCAGGAGAGACAGGTTTCTGAATGAAACGGTTGTGTAAATAAGGATTCCTTCCGTTCTAACTTCCTTCTACTTCTCTCAATTCTTTTTGCAATCCGTTTTTTTTTTTTTTTTTTTTCAAGAGATGAAGTTTTTTTTTATTTCAAAGGTGTCAAATCCAACCAAACATAAGAGAATAACACATTTAGATTTCATTTTTTTCTCATCTATCCTAAGATCTGCCCACTCTCCATTTCCCTCAAGCGGAATTTTGCTCGAGGCCTTCAGAGTTCATTTAAACTGTATCTTTATTGATGAATTGATTCAATAATTCAAGTTAGAGCTTTGGTATCGTTCGTTCTGTTCATGATAGTCTCAGTAGTGGTAGGGTAAGTGTCTGATTAATTCAATGCTTCATTTTCACCTGTTCCTAAATCGGACTAATACGGACTGCTCTAAGCAAATGCTTTACCAAAAATATGAGTTTTCGATTTTTACCAGAGATTTTTAGTTCTATATTGGTTTCTTTATATCTTATTGAGTCTTGGGGACACTTACGATTTACCTCGGAATGCTACAATGCAAAGTGGATCGGCTCTAATGAAATATTGATGTTACTATYACGCCTCTTGGTGGGAAAAAAGTATGGATTGAATCCTTTCATAAACAGGCCTGCTAATTAAAGGTACATAGGAAACTACAGGATATTCTAGAGGCATTCCAAAGGAAATATATCAAATACGCAGTGATTAAAGTAATTGGATGTGTCATCGATGTGTTTAAGCGCTGCTCCAAGCCAATCGCCATCAGCCATTGAGCCAAGCAATCAGAATACCCTCAAACACATTAGTCTAACCATTGGAAGCTATCTAATGAGTCTGTTTCTTCCCAAGCTAATAATCATAATATTTGACACTTTGAGAAAGGTTTCTTCATTAAAGCATGTCAGTTATGGTAACATACACTTAGTCATTTATTTAGCTAGAGATACCGCTTTCTCCTCATTGGGGAGAATAGTTAATGTACKTTTATGATTCAACCCTCTTTATTGAACCCCCGGTGAGTTATTAAGAGACTGCGTCACTTTACTGTTGTTTCAACCCATTCACGGAACGGCTTTCCTACTGAAGCCAACTTGATTTAAGTAATAGATTGCCTTTGAAGGCTTCACAGAAGACTCTATGCAGACCTGTTTGGGTTTCGGTGGGGTTTCTTGTGTTTGCCTGACCTTCTTTCTTCTCTCACAGCACGACACAGACAACGTAACACCTTCGAGTRGTTGTCTCTAGCCATTGCCTTCTTTCGGGGCCTTGCGCGCATTGTTTCGGCTTGTTACTGGAATTGGGGGAGTTGTCGTCCTGTGAGAACCAAAAGACGTGAAAAAATAACGAGCACAACACCAGTAACTTTAATAATTTCACAGCAATGCCGCTGCCCATTCGAAGGGGAAAATAGCCAAATCAAAACGATACACAAATCGCGAAATCATTTAATGTTTTATCTCCTAGCGTGCTATTGTTTTCGCTTTAGGCTTGAATACACTCAACGCTTAGATCAAACTGTGCCCGAGTGAAAAAGGATTTTTAGGCAACTTTAATTTTTCTTTAAATCTTGCAAACTATTGCGCAGACTCACAGATATCTCCATGGAAACACTGCGACTACGATTTCAGATGAACGTGAAAATTTGCTGAAGTTTCAAAAACAAATTTTATTCTCGAAGTTTCATGTTTCGTAGAACAAAAGAAGGTTTACTGAACAACACCTAAGCTATGTTAGTTGTGTTTTTATTAGTGATGACATAAGTAGAAATAGCTTCAAGCGTTTGTGATGGTTCGACAGGTTTTTTTTCTCCAAGGGTTTTCCGGTCACTTGGCATTTGCGAGTCTATCGCTTTCTAGTATTTAAAGAAAGCCTTTAAATTATCCTCTTTATGAAAACCAAAAAAGTCTTTAACCACRCGAAGTAGAATATCAAATCATGTTTTTTATTTGCTCCTGACTTTGGTGCGTTATCATCGATACATCTATAAACTGGTAGTGAAATCCTCGTCTTTGGACCATTGTTTGTCCCATTTTATGTAGCTGTATTAAGCAACGCTTGCCCAACCACTTCAGACTCTTGTATCATTTTGTGGTTAGAGGCGATAAACCAATTCACTGGAAGTCTGCTTTTGCTGCAAAAAGGAGGTGATTTTCCCACGAGAAAAATTAAAGAATGCGAGGAGCGTTGGTAGTTAATTTAATAAACTTAAGGCATTGTTTACTGGTGAGCTTGAATAAAGAAGGTAACATGTCTCAGAGTGTCCGTTATGGTTATCACCGCTGATCTTGATGATCGATGAATTGATTCAATCTGCGCAACTTGGATTCTTCAACCACTAAAGATTAACTTCAATGGATTTATATTCTTTATCTGCTTAAAAGATTAAGTGTATTAGTAAATTCGATATGTACAAATAAACATCTCGCCCTACCCTTTACGATTCAACCCCTGTTCGAGGTTATCCACTCTCGCATGGATACAGAAAAAAGTCATTTTTCTCTTACTCCTTAATTTTCTTAAATTGCTATCAAGATCTTGATTTTGTTAGTTGAATTCTTTGTCTAGTGGTGAACAAAGAGTACTAAAATAGCGAGAGTGTTTGCCATTATCAGAGAGATCGCTGTCTCTCATTGTCCCCTGCCTGCTTGCTTGCCTGCTGTCTGTAACCTACTTCGTCTCTATAGCACACAAGAACAAAACTGCCTCGCCTTGTGAATTCGACCACACATTTCTGTCAGGTTTTTCTCCGTTTAATTGTTTTCACTTGGTGCACTCACGTTTATTCGCAATAAGATCATWTCACTCATAATAAGCTTGACCGTAGATTCGTATCGCGAATGTTGTAGAATATCTATCCTACAGCACCTCTCAACTCCCTTTCCTGCCAGCACTTATTTACCAATGGTTTCGATTCATTCCTTTAAAATATGCACTCCAGACCCTTCAAAAAATTTTTTTTTTTTTTTTTTTTTTTTTTTTTTTCACGAAAAATTAATTTTTAGTCTTTGTGCACTCCCTTTTCATTGAATTCAGAAGGAAATATGAAAGACAAAACGCAAGAGACCCAAAACTGGAAAAGCTTCACTAGGATTTCGTTACCTCTAGTGTTCATATATATTTCCCTTTGAAAGTTATGTAACAGTTTTTTTAGACTGTTGTGGCTTGATAGTGTTTAAATAAACTGCATAAGGACTGAAATCTTCGGTGACAATCTAATTAAGACTTCACTAACCTTATCAGCAAAGTTTAAGACGGCACGTTCAACATAAGAGAAGCTCGTGCGACGAACCGACTGGGGCTTTCAATGACAATTAAGCAGACAGCCGATGAGGCGTCAACTGTATATTCAATTGAATTTTCTCTTTTTTTTAATATCAGTTTGATATGAACAGCAACAACTAAGAAAAAGTCCAAGGCATAATTACTAATTGATTAACATCAAAACGAAAACTTATTAAATTGACGAGTTTCTGAAAACACGTTTGTTTAAAGTGACAAGGGATTCGAATAACGATATCCAAATCTAAACGAGACACTAGCACTGCTATGATTGTAGATAGACTGAATGAGTGAGCGAGCACTATCTCAGTTTTTATACGCCGTTTAGTTTTCTAGTCGTGACTGAGATTCAAGCAATTTGTTTGCAAGGCGCAGAAAAGGGCRAAAAGTAGACTCGGGTTGTGATATTTTGACGGGCCTTGAAGGGATTTTCTCCCCCAGGTAGTTTTGCGTCAGGTAAATTGGGCTGAAATGTACACGTGTTGCATCATCAGTAAGCCTTTTTGCCATTGTTCTCGCCAGAACCACACCAATGACTTTATGTCCTTTGTCCTTTCTAGCGAACAAATTTCTAAAAACCATTAAAAAATTCTACTTTAGGCTATCCAAAAAATGGCAGTTTTATACCCTGTGTTCCACGATGGTTCGTGCAGGACATGTTTCTTTTTAAGACAAGTTCGTGGATATTTTTTGATACCTRATTGCCAATGTTGACTTGGTCGGATACTGCTCTGTTTGAAGCTGTTAGTTTATACTGGGAATGTAGCATCTGGCCAGCCATATTCAATATACCATTCTGTACCTCTCTACATTATGCTCCTTCAWCTATCATCACCAAATGTGAAAATCATTAATGTTCTGCGATAATCAGACCTCGCCTTATCAACACTGTCCTCATTTCGAATAACGGATTCCTTAATTTAAAAAAAAAACGTTTCCAAGATTCGCTTATCATATACACCCAAGATTTACTCACAAATTAACAGAATTTGCAAATTCTGTATAAAACTACCTTCCAATTTTACTCTCAGATTTGGTATCCCTGTGTTTTTACCCGACACAGGAAGACCAAACCAGGAAATCTCCCCGCACACGTGCTTGGCACGTTGCTGATTTGTTGGTTTTTCTTTGAAGTTTGAAAATGAGCTAAACGTGGACGCTACGAGTAAAAATGACTTGACAATAAAGTGAAAATGTCTTGTCAAGCCTTAGAAAATAGCCTCTTGAATCGCTGAAGTGTTCTTTTGAAGCAACTGGACATKTGAAGCCATCGAGATAATTCTCGAAACGCGCTAAGTAAGGATCCAAATTACACAAAGACGAAATTGAAGCTCCATAAACTTACTTTCTATGTTTTTTGAAGCACTATTACCTTATACATTGATTCAATTAATCAATAGATGTTTATGGGCTTTTGACATGACTTGACAAAGAAACCTCGTAAAGGCTTCAATGTAGCAGAGAGAGAAAAGGTATTCAGGTATATTGAATTAAAAAAATTGAAAATCTCTTTTTGGAACTGGGCAAGAGATTTTATATCTGGTCAATTAAAAAAATAAAATGATGAAAAGTACTGGGGGAAAAGCTTTTCGAGTCATTTTTGGAAGTCTGACTTCTTTAAAGAAAATCTTCTCAAAAATGTTTTGATCAAAACCTCGTCACTAGTTTTCATTTTTTTTTCTTTCATTTTTTTCCTTTTCTTTTCGCCCGTTCTTCTTGTTTCGCTTTTCTTTTTTTTTCTTTCTATTTCATCTCTTCTCTTTTGCCTTCTCTTCACCTCTTTTCTTTTTTTTCTCTCTTTCCTTTCATTCTCTTTTTCTAGTCGACAACTTTGAGTTGCCTTTTTTTCGTTTTCAGCTGCATGCTTGAAGCGGGCTACAAAAGATCGCCCATTTTGGAAAAAGAAACCAAAAAAGACACACATATCCATCCAAATCTAGATGTTTTCAAGCAGAAGCATGAAGCGTACTTCAGGAAAATGAAGTGTTTCGAATCTGCTTGCAAAAGATCCTAGTAGAAGTCACCCTAAGCAAATGCGTATGAGAAACTTAATTTGCGCAAGGACCGTACTTCCACATACTTATTTGGCTTTTCTCTTAGTTTCTTTCTCAGCCCTTTTAGCTTGAGCTTTGGATACCCTCAGGCGCTCATAAAGACAATAGACAATGGACAAAGACAATTGACAATAGGATTTCAAGTCGGGGGTCTCCCCAGAATGGAATGTCAAACTTCATGTTATCCGAGAAACTATTTCTCGCCATGTTTTTGAGACAATCCTGTACAGGAAGGAGATTAATGATTACCAAATAGACTCCCCTGGATATCCTCCTCTGGAAGACTGAAGGTAGAAAATAAAGCACTTTGTTGGCTCCCTGAGAGAGCCGGCAAAAGATATCACTGTCAAGCACTGTCACCACCATATCACCCACGAGTATTTCGCTATTAAGACTTTCTTCTCTTGTCTGCGGCGCAGCAGGATACTGTCCTTTACACACGTCCAGATGTTGTACTGCCGAAATCCCTGGTGATTCCTATTAGGGAATCCAGACTGCGGTGTAGTGGTATCATACTCGCCTCTGGGGTGTCTGGTTTGATTCCTGGACTTGACATCACAATTGACTAGAGAATGTTAGGTCTGTCTCTTGATTCGAGGGTTTTTCTCAGAGTTTTTCTTATCTCCTCCCTCTGACACTTTGATCAGCCCAGAGGTTGTTTTAGGGTTCCATTTCTGAGTTAGCCGTGCCTTTACTTTGATCAGCAATTGGATTGTTTCATTGTATTGATAAAATTTGAAGTTTTTTTGTTTCATATCCCTTGGAGCCTTTCTTTCCTTTCGCTGCTTTCATATCAACTGGAATGTCCTCATACAAAATCTGGCTTGAAAAAAGTCTTGCTCTTCGCCCTCCCCCCTCTGTCTTTATCTGTCTCTAGTCTCTCTTACTCTCTTCTCCCCTCCATAGCCCCCCTTTTTCTTCTACGTGTGTCCACCTTCAAAAAAAATTTTCCACTGGGGTTTGTTTATTTAATTTAAAAACTTAGCTAAGTTAAATTTAATCCTAATTGTTATATTATTATACTTTCCTATAATATTTTCATAAATTGTATTCATAAATTTTCAAGAACTAATGTCGGTTCTTACTTTTCTTTTATATTAAAGAACTAACGCTAACTTTTTTCTTAAAGAAGGACTTGAAATCTGACCTTTGGTCAGACATGGTTCGTGATGTGCTCCGCTTTATGGACCGCAGTCAAAGGATTCAGCGGTAAGAATGATAAAAATGATAAGATTCATTGTAAATAATGATCACGTTTTGATTTCCCGCCTTTTTTGGAGGTCAAAAGTGAGAACAAGCTGCATTGATGACATAATTCTTATGACCAGTTATTCTTTCTTGAGACTGCAATCAAAAATGGCGGGAAGTAGTCACGTGACCTATTAATGCAAATACAAATAAGTCCAAATGTAATACTACAACCCAGCTATAGCGACGTTAAACGGTTTTACTTGGAATTGCATGTTATACGATGCAATTTTTTATAACTTTAAGTCACGTGATTGTCAGTATGTGACGTCATGATCATATCTTAACAGCAGTCATTTTGATTTGATTGGCTGAATTGAGTAACCAAGCTACTTTGCTGTCCTTTTGTTTTCATTTTATAAGGCATCCTCAGGCATTACCAACATACATCTAAATGCAACCTGGGATGTAAAGAAGGCGACTCAGTATCCAGGCCTTTGACTCAAATGCCTGGTTACTCAGTATCAAAATGGCTGCCTCTTTGCGATTGGATTTAAATGTTTTCTCAAAGCTTGGTGTTTCAACTTCTCCTGCAATGCGATCAGATTTCGTTCGATATTTTTTCGGCTTAATCTTCTTCTCCGATATCAGTAAGATCGTTGTCTTCAGAGTCTGAACCAACTGAAAATAGTTAAATAACTCCATTAAAAATACCAAATAAATATCGCGGGGGAGGGGAGGGGGGACAAGAAAAAGAAAGAGACTTACCTGATGATAAACCGTCCAATTCATTCATAGTCGCTTGTAAATCTATCAAGTTATTTTGGCTTTTTGGATTAGATTCAACAGGAGCTGAAAATAGTTTTAAAAATAAGTTAGATTTTTCAATCAAATGTGGGTGTAAGTAGTTAAAAGATGGTGTTGTGTTTGACGGCTTTGCATACATCATGGCTGTTTTGTTTAGGTCTATGYTTATGTCTATTGATAGAAGTATTTTTGAAGGACAGGAAGCCCGCGACTTCTTCGTACTTGCATTCCAAGTCAGCGCAGCCATGTTGGTGTGTGTGAGGGAAACTAAAAGGTGGCGTAGCGGTAGAGCACTCGTCACTCCCCTCTAGGGTCTCGAGTTCGATTTCTAGACTCGGCTTTACATATGAACAGACTTTGTTGGGTCTTCCTTAAGGCCCCGTCCACACTATGCCGGATAAATTTGAATCCGCAACTTTCACACAGAACCCGAAAAAAAAGTTTTCCGTCCACACATGAAAACGGATAAGCCGGCGTTCTCAAATTGTTCCACCCTGGAGACCTTATTMAAAAAAAAATCGTTTTCGGTGAAGAAGCATTCATGTGAAGTTTATCGTCTTACCTTCGTGTTGTGTCGCTTCTCTTGAGACTGACGTCCGTTTGACTCTAATCAGTGGTAGGCTGGGCTCTAGCGCCTTCTTATTGGAGTTAATCATTTTGTCAATCACAATGGCCCTTCTCACAGCTTTTTTCCAAATGTCTTGGAGTCTTTTTTCTGTTTTTCTCGCAAGCGTCGTCTCTTCGAATTCTTTTCCCTCTTCTGGTAGACCGTAAGCATGTCTTGACACTTGAGGAGTTTCGAGGGCATTCAAACTAATGTGTGAATGCTTCGTTCTTCTTTGTTTATCTTTAAAATACCGATCTCTGACTCTTTTAAGTTCCTTTCTATTTCCTTTGTCGACTTTTGTTTTCTTGTCGTATTCCCTCATACTAGCGTCAACTTCTGTATGTAAAGTTCTATCCTGTAACGCTTTTATAGATTCCTTTAACTTTTCTACTCGTAGGGATTTCTCTTTCGTGTTGCAGTAAATACCGCGAAGTCTTCTCATGGTGGCCGCTTCTCTCTCGCTCAAACTCACCACTTTTTGGCGCCTTTTTTGATAAGGTACGGCGCACGCGCGTTTGTGATCTATATATTCTTGGTAAGAGTCTTTCTCTTCGACGTCATCGTCACTTATTTCCATATCGTGATGTTGCTCGTTGCTGGTGACAACACCGGTTTGTTTGGCGCGATGGTTTGCCCATTGTCGCGCCCATGTGGCCGATTTTGATGGTGTTTCGTCGTTCATCTCGTCCGACCGTTCGTTTTTGTGTCGACGTCCTTTGGCCTTATCCTTGCTTTTGGTCGCATTGTCTTTGATTGGCGGGAGTCGACGTGGTTTAATTTTAGGTCGCGGTGCGGGTTGAGCGGTTGATACCAATCTGCTTCTTCGGTAGTCTGCCTCGAGTGTAGTTACTGCGCATCGGGAAAAAATGGGAAGAAATCCTTTTTAGGTATAGAATGGAATGTAGTTTTAAGCAGATATAGAAGGCAGAAAGGACTAACGAAAAGGAGAGTCAAGTGGAAGAGGAATAGGAGAAGAATAGTAGCAATATATTGACATTGAGCAATCTGGCATTGTATTCATATTCTTGGGCAACTATATATCTATATATGGCTATAATGTCAAGTATATTACAGACGGCTTTTGAAATGGGAGTACGTTTCTCAGGAGGATGTATAAATGGGTGGATGGATGGAAGATGGAAGATAGTAACAGAGGGAAGAAAAATAAAATGAAAAAGAGAGTAAAGCAGAAAAAGAAAGAGAATGAGAGAGAGTGGTAGAATGGAAGGGAGGAGGGAAGGAAGAGAAGCGGAGATGTGTACCTATTGATAAAACAAATGAGTAACCCATACATGTCATACTTACATCCAGCAGCGGGTCTTCCACAGCCAGGCCAACTCATTGGTGTAGTAACCATGTTCGAATCAGGTCGTTTCTTGTGGAAAGCCATCCACGCCTGCCTTTGGTTTGCATGTTTCTCTACATTACTGAAATAAATAGAAGCCTAGGGTCAAGTCTGTTGGCATCTTTGAAAAACGGTCATGTTGAATAGTGTGACTAGTGAACATCATCCAACATGGCTGCCACTTTTATTCTCTTAGGAATGATTACAAACCACCTATAGTGAACACCATCCAACATGGCTGCCACTTTTATTCCCTTAGGAATGATTACAAACCACCTATAGTGAACATCATCCAACTTGGCTGCCACTTTTATTC